TGCTCAGAAAACCCCTGTTTATATTTTATTGAGTAACAGGGAGCTCAGGATAGTCTGTTGTATTTATTTGCCTCTTGCCAAGCCCAGAGCGGCCTCGGGAGAGGATGCCGACTGTCCTTGTCCAGAGTGCCTCTTTTGCAAAGTGATAGGCTGTAGTGACAGGTGTTCCTTCTGTTCTGTTTTGCGGATGACCTACCTCTTCCATAAACCAAGGGAAAGAAGCTGCTTAGAACGTCTGTGTGCAGTTCAAGTGCACAGTGATTTCTGCGATGCGCTTTGTGTTCAGGCACCCTGAGGTTGCCATGTGTGTCAGGTTTCCCCTTGGTTGTGTGGCCTGACAAGTAAGCTGGTTGCAGACAGATGATTAAATATGAATCGAGCACACTCTGTATGCCATGGAGACGCGCTGGAGAAACTCGCATCCCTCCGGACAGCGCAGGGCCCTTGACTCCCCTGAACCAAATGACCATCAGTACATTTTCTAATCTGTGCTTTCTGTGTGGGAACCCCTTCTCCCTCCTGCTAGGAGATGGGTGCAGTACCCCCAGAGATTGCCCTCTGAATGTTTCTCAATTTGTCATTTGCCAAGAATAACTGAGGAATAATGATATTTTATCTTTTAATTCTAAGAGGAAAACTTGGTTTGGGGTTTCTGTGTGTGTTTGGATTGTCTGCAGCTGTCGTTGCTTCCTAGCGCAGCAGTACTGCATTGGCACAGTCCTGGTTTCATTCTTCCAAGGACAGAAGGAGCTTAGCTCCTAAACTGACCAGCTCTGGGACCCTGTACCCGATAGGAGTAACTCATCATTTCTCACCAGAATAGTGTGCTTGTGCATGGTCTGCTAGGTTGGGTTGGCCAAGAATCTTGCCAGGGCTTTAATCTAGGCCACCTGTTCTACATGAGTTCTTGAGAATGAATTCCCAAGCGTTGTTTTTTGGACTCATATGATAAAGAAAATACACAAAACAAAAACAGAAGAACTTAATTTTTAAAGGTGTGTTGCTTTAAAAGAAGCTTGATAACAAGGGTGTGGGCGAAGAGGAGGCCACCTGGACTTGGAAACCTGTGGCTTTTTGCTCCTGGAGTCGGGGAGGGAGGGGGGACCAGGACGCTGTCCCACTTTGTCCTTTACCAGGACCCTCGCTCCCTCATCCCCCATGATCTGCAACAATGTGCCTTATTGGCTGTGAGTTTACAGGGAAAGCAAGCTCCCAAATAAAGGCTATATATGCTCTGTGTGGTATGTGTTTGTACATGTTGCTAACTTTCAATTTCCCTCGCCAGTGGGAGTCAGGATTGGCTCAGAATCAGTCCAAAACGGTGTTCCAGTTCTCCACTCTCGGGCCTTTTACCAACATTGTTTTTTTAGAAGCCACATTCTCATTTTCACCGTTCCCCTCTCTCTGCTCACTTGATAGTGGGGTAACTAGTAACACTTACTAACTATAAGGTGGGCAGCAGGGAAACCAGAGGGATGAAGCAGAGCGCCTGTCTAGGCTATGACAGAATAACCACGAAGAGACTATGACAAAACAGCGGTGCTCTCTTCCTTCTGTGATGTGTCCAACAAGAGCCAGAGACCGGCTTTGCCATCAGTTGCTTTTCCTGGCTGCAGGAAGCCCAGTCGTGTGACATCCTCCTTTCCCCAAGTTCTGACATGCTGAGATTTGTGAAGGCGGCTCTCAGGAGACAACCAGTACCTTTAGGAAAAAACGACCAAAAAACAGCAAAGTACACTTTTTGTTTAATCCCGTGCATTTGTTTGCTTTGATAGTCACTCTTGTTCCCATTGCTGCACAATTGTTTGGTCCAAAGCGAGCTGGCATCAAACCAACAAGGTGTAGAGGAACTAACAGGGCTGCAACTACAGGGAAACAGATGAGGGGGTTAATTTTGAGACCTGACCACAAAAAAGAAGTTAATTTGCTCCAAACTGATAGGGAACTCAGATTATTGCAATAAAGAATCGGAGTGAGTCTTCCCACTTCCGGAGTCAGAAGAGCCCTCTGGGTGACATAGTCAGTAAGAGACGTCTTCCTAATAGCATGTGCACTCTGGGGTTCCCTCCTCCGGGCAACCATTGGAGGACCCTGCCTGCCTGGCCACTGGGCAGCAGCCAGGAGCCAGCATTCCCTGGTGCTGTGAAGTGGCTGGAGAGTAGGTCTGTGATTCGGCCAGGAGTTTCCTTACAGTGGCCTTGCCATCATGTGAAATCCTGCCATCATGCTCTGGTCATGTGACAGTTAGTCAACGCCCTAACTTCTTTGGGGTAACCCTCCTTCTCAGAGAAGTGATTGCAGGGCTCCCCTCTTCTGCCACCTGTCCCAGAGAAGTGTTCCAGTTTCCACAGGGGTCCTCTACTCAGCAGTCTAGTTCATTCAGTTTGAATAGGTGCTTGCACTATTGGCTGTAACATGCAAACAAGCAGACTCATGCGATTCTTGTGTGCTAGTCTGTTGGTAACATTGGTGGTGTGAATATACTAGGACATTTATTCTATGAAATCTGCAAGGAAGGAAAATCTTGCGACCCAGAAAGGCACTACATTCATACTGACAGTACAAGTCAAGGTCTTAAAAAGAATGCCACATTGTTTTGACACATTAGTAACTGGGATTTAACATATTAAGTGTGTATAGAAGGTGAGGGAGGAACATGCTTATTTAACACAATGAAATAAAGTGAGTGAAGAGACACATTTTGGAATTCAATTCATCAACAATTGGAGATGATTCAACTGGAATTGTAGTCCCAAAGGGCAGGGGTGGAGGCAGGTGGCCTTTTCCTGCCAATGGTGCTGCCCCCTGAGAGCCATAGGGTGGGGTCCATAAGGAGAACACTGGTGTGACCTGTCATTTTCCCGTCGGGGCTAACTCCAGATCTCAAACCACTGTTAGGAAGCTAATTATGAGCTTAGAGCTGGGACGGTAAACATCTCTCCCTGCACAGCCGTTCTAACAAGTGGTAGTTGTTGCTCCCTGTGCTGTGTTGTAAGAGGCTCGGAACATGGTGAGCAGTGAATCATGTTGGTCCTGGGTGTTCAGAGTGTAGATTGTAGGTGGTGGTATTTTGGTTTCTGGCTTAGTGGCAAAACAAAATAATAGCGCACTACTGCAGAGCAGAGCGGGAATTCCTAGGTTTCCAAGTGTTATGTCCTATTTTGGAGAATTCAGTTCCAGGAACTTCAAGCAGGAACATTTTAAGGGGAAACAAATGAGACATAAGGGGATGGGGGAACAAGAGTAAATTACTTGATCAATAAGAATGCACTTACACTGAAAGGATGTCAATGCTCCACAGTGGGCGGGCTTTTAAAATTGGTTGGTACCAGGAAAACCCCAAACCATCAAATCCATTATTTAGGGCAAGAGGGACATTTAGCACAAAGAATCCCTGAAATGGATGTCTAGTACTAAAAATATCCTTAATCCTTGAAGAATAGATTTGTTGATACTGAACTTTTAAAATACCTGAACTTCAAGTAGGCCATTCCAGATCATCTTACAACAGAGCTAGTGTCTTCACTTTTCCGAGTAGGCACTCCCCACATCCTCCAAATAGATCTAAACTTTAAAGCCTATTATAATTTCAAAGTGGATGCAGGCTTCTTAGTTTCTCTGCTAAGCAATTTATTTATTTATTTATTTATACTTCTTCAACCAGGTTTATTAAAAAAAATTCTTTTTTTCCCCCCTTAAACTCCACATTCTTAGTTTTTCAGGAAGAGAGAGAAGTTTGCAGCAATGACATCAACTCAACATCATCTGGCTACTCCTGATTCTACAGGACTAAAACCATTCTCAGGAGTCCTGCCCACCAGCCAGTGAGGACCAGAATTCTTCAGGTGTGGTCCAGCTCAAGGACATCTGACCCACCCTGACAAAGGGGCTTGCTTGCAAGGTCTGACAAAGCACAAAACATTGAACAGGTAGCCTGGGACTCCCAGGCCTTGTAAAGAGCTTCATTAGTGCCGTTCAGGTAACTGAACCAAGCACATCTTCCCTGACACTCGCTGCTATTCACTAGCCTCTACTTCCACAAGCCTGTCAATCTGCAAAGGTTCAACATGCAGGGGATGGAGCAAAGTGTGGCTGGGCAGCCTTGAAAGCACACCTTTTACCCGCATTGAGAAAAGAGAAATGGTGGGGAGTGGGGTTCCCTGAAGACAATAAGATGATGTTTCCCTAGCTCCACTCCTAGCACCTGCCTCAGGCAGTGTCCTCCTGTGAGGGGGCACTAAGGAGGCTAAAGGTTAATACCGCTACCAACCCCTGCCCCTTCTGGAACGTGAGAAAAGCTTCCTAGAGCTTTACATGTGTAGCTGCAAAATGCTAGGACAGCTTAACCTATACGTTTCTGTTCTGGAGCTGAGTAGACTGTGAACCTTAGTTTGTAAGAAACAAGTATGCATGACAAGAGGGCTCACCTTCTGCCATGGGCCCCTTTCCAGCCGAGCCTCAGGTTCTGTGGAGCCTGGAACCTGCAGTACCTGGTGCCACACCCTCAAATGCACCCTTTGCCCTACACAGCCAGCACTCCATCAGCCTTGTTTTTAACCAAAATACCTCAACATCTGCTAAGCAATTTGGAGAGGAATTGTTATTCAGAAGACATGATCTTAAAGTAGATGGAAATCAGAAACTAATGCCCATCTGCAACCCAAATTAAAACGCATCATCTTGCAGTCAGTCAAAAACAGATGCTAAATGAATGTGGACATTCATCCCAAGGGGGTTAAACTTTCGATCAACAATTAAGCTTGAAATCACAGTCCTGTGAGGTTCATAGTCATCAGGACTGAAGAATTCGTTTTTAAATTTCCTGAGCTCTTGATTCAATGCTCTTCAGAAGAGTTCTCAAACACACCAACTCAAAATTGTCCTGGGACCTCAGGCCGGCAATAAAGGGCAAGGCTGGGATAGAGAAGGCAGTTCTGTTTTTGACCTAAAGACACTGTTCTTCTATGAAGCCCCTAGTCAATTCTACTGAAAAATAAACATAATGTTTAATGTGGAACTTTATTAAACTCCTGACCATGCAGTGAAAGACTGAAGATTCAATGCTGTATATGACCCTAACACACTCATACAGTTATCTCAGGTAGGTATATGGCACTGTCATGACAGACAGTCAAGATGGGAAATCAGGAAATTTATTAAGAATATGAGGTGTCAGGTGGGGGTTTCCTAGGAAGATCGTGACTGGGAGATATAAGACAGACATTGAACGTCATGTTTCTTTTTTGCCACCACAGGTGGGCAAGAACCAGACCAGCTGAAGTGTCAGTGTTTTATGTTGGATAGAAAGTGGACACAGAGTTGTAGCTTATCTTTTCCCAGAAGTAATGACCCAGAGATATTCATAGTATAATGTGGTCTGAAGAAAGAGGATGCAAAATAGGGCTCTTCAAGGTAGTACTTTTTCAGCCCTAAGAGCCGCTAAGTGACCAAGCCTTTCTAGAATTTCTTTAGTCTTGTTATAGGATGACATCACAGCTAGGTATTTTATGCCATGACTATATATATATATATATATTAGTTTTTCTGCTACTCCCAACTACGAAGAGCAGGTTGGTTTTGTGGGATCTGGCAGGAACAAGATGACAAACTATGCTACCAGTTCTTGGAACTCTCTAACCCATGGGCCCCATGCAGAAATTCTCTATGTCTGTGCCTCCAAATGGTTTAATGCCAATATGTGTAAGTCTTTCCTAATGTCCAACACGATGCCGTGTCCAAGACTCTAGCCATCGCCTTCAGATTCTGAGCCTAGAGACATTGTTTGACAGTAATCTATCTTGGAGACAGAGACAGGAACGAGGCCGACATCTGTTTTTATATAAAATTCTACATAAAAATTGGCTTACAGCTGAGGTACCATGATGTACCTTGGCATGCTTTTCAGAGCCCATGACCCTGGATAGGAAGGACCTCATGCTTTAAATAATTCTCTTTTTGCTTCTAGTGTAGTCTCATGATTTTATTTCTAAAGAAACTTGAGAAATATTACAGCCTTTGAACTATTTGTCCATTCACTCAGTCATCTGCCCACCCAGGAGCTTCCACAATCAAGTCAAAGTCACCATGTGCCCACTGGGCTCCAGGGCAGAGCACACATCCTCAGATGATTGTTGCACACAGAAAATGAGGGAATGCACCTAAGATGAATACTGGAGAGCTCCCAAGTGGCAGTCTCATTTTCATTCCTTCATAAAAATCATAAAAATTCACGGTAATTCATGGTTAGCGATAAACACAATCATTGTGCTACACTGTAAACCACACCTTCTGATCCACAGAAAATGAGAATGACAATAATTATTATAAAATAAAATAACAATGATAATAATGCCATAACTTAAGATCTTTCATGTAGTCCAGCTACAGAATGTATACAAAATGGAATAATTTAATGCAAACAATACTGTTCTCTGTATAAGTTAGACATTTTCCTTCATCTTACTTAAGAGCTATAAATTAAAAGACAGTAAATTTTAAATTAATATCTCAACATAAATTGTAAACAAATGAGGGATCAGACAAGCAAAAGGAACTGCTCTCAATTCCCTCCTGCCTTTCCTTTTTGGCTGATGCAATCAGTGAAACCCAGTGGAGGGCAACGTTTCCACCTGCACTGGAATGGTTTAATGCCAATATGTGTAAGTCTTTCCTAATGTCCAACACGATGCCGTGTCCAAGACTCTAGCCATCGCCTTCAGATTCTGAGCCTAGAGACATTGTTTGACAGTAATCTATCTTGGAGACAGAGACAGGAACGAGGCCGACATCTGTTTTTATATAAAATTCTACATAAAAATTGGCTTACAGCTGAGGTACCATGATGTACCTTGGCATGCTTTTCAGAGCCCATGACCCTGGATAGGAAGGACCTCATGCTTTGGAAAAGGCAAAATCTTCCCAATTGCTGCTCAGCATCAGTTGTTCTTTGCACAAATTCCCAAATCCAATGATTTAAAACTGTGTTGATCCGAAGAAAAGTAAAAGACCTTTCACAAACAGCTTTGAACAAAAATGCTATTGTGCTGGGATATTGTGGTGGGGGTGTCTTTTGCAACTTGCTTATTTTGCCTTTATTCTGATAGTGGAAGCCAGTCACTAAAGCTTACAGGATAGAATGAGTTAATAAGTGAAAACAAGGGAATGGTTTGTGATTGGACATTGGACAGACTCACACACACCCTAGCTGCCTTCAAAGTCTGTTCTCCTGTTTGAATCAATATGACTCTAGTAGACAAGCAACCTGATTCCACAGAGGGCTAGCTCCACCTTCTGGACGAGCGGAACTGAGAGGTTCTGACAACGTACTTTTACAAATTCCGCGTTTGCTTTTCTAACACTGTGGTCAGTTTCCTTTTTCTCTTGTCCTTCTCTTCTTCTCAGCCCTCCCCCTTTTCCTAAAGGAAGTGGTCACCAGGTGGAAGGGAAATGGCTATGAGGAAATGGCACGTTGGTCAAGGTCACACATTTGTCAAGGTAATGGCAATGACAGCATTTAAAAGGTAAATGTTTGTCAAGGAAGATTCGACTCTATCCATAAGTCTCACAACTAAATGCTGCTTAAAATAAATAAAAATGAAACCAGTTTTCACATATACAGCTTTTTTTTTTCCTCCTAGAGGAAGCACATGCCTTGGGTGCAAGTATCTGGTTACCAAACTTTTCTAGATAATTTTCATCACCCAAAGGATAAGCTGGTTGAACTTAAATGCGGTCTGTTCACAAGTTACCCGGAATTGCTTTTCTTTTGCTGTTCTTTGTTTTCTAAAATGCTCAACATGTCTTGCTCTGGCTCTTCTTCAGTCACTTATGGTCAAAAGAACTGGTCCCCTGTTCAAGTAGCAATAATACCTCTTGGCCCCACAAATTACCAAGAATGTTGCTTCTAAATTCCACTTCTTTCTTCCTTTCTCTCTCTCTCTCTTTCCCCCCCAAGAAATTATTGTCTCTCTCTCTCTCTCTCTCTCATATATAATTCAGTCTTTACAGTACAAAGTGTTAAAATGTCAAACAAAAATAAATATCAATGTTACAGTAGCTAGAATATTCAATAAAATAGATCCCTGCCATTCTTGATTGAAATGTTCAGTGAGACTTAGTTTCATTTGGATATTTTTTTTCCAGAGATTTGCAAAGTCTCATGTTCCTGTTATTGCAGCTTATTTCTAGGGGTAAGAAAGATGGGGCAGCTCTCTTCCAAGACAAAAAGGCAAGGGAGAGCGGGAGGAATCGGGTGGGGCGGATCTGAAACATCAGTATTGTCACGTCATCTTCAGGATGGGTGTCCTCTCATTACCAAGTAGCAGAGCTGTAGTGTTTATTGGTCCTCACTGTGGCATCAGAACACTCCCCATCTGAAGAGTCACAGTCCGATTCTTCAAACTGCATAGGATTCTGCAAAGTCAAGACAAAATAAAACCTTAGTTCATGTTTGCAACCACTCAGTAAACATATATCAAACACCTCCCACATGACAGGCTTTGGGCTACAAAAATGAGACCAGGTCCTGTCTTGGTGGGGCTTACAGAAAAAGAAGACATGTAAAGATGATGTTCATGATGATTATGACAATGATAACAGTACCACCACAACCATACTGTACAGCATCTACTATGTTCCAGGCACGGCATGCTCCTTGTCAGAGAGCCCATTATTAATCCATTTAATCCTTACAACAGCCCCATGAGGTAGATGCTGTTACCGTACCCATTTTACAGATAAGAAAACTGATCCATGGAGAATTTAAGTGACTTGCCCAACAGCACACAGTAAGTAAGTGGAAAGGCTGGGGTTTGATCTGGGCAGTCAGATTCCAGGGAACATAATTTCAACCCCTGTGCTATCCTGCCCCTCAAAAGGCAGTACTGACCATGAACTAAAGTGGTACCTGTGCTATGATAGCCTCATTAGGGGACAGTGGGGACAGGGAGGAGGGACGTTCATACCCTTCACCAGATTGGGCGATGAGGCCAGGAGGAGGTGATGTTGGAGTTCAGTATTGGAAGGGAGGGTTCCTGAGCCGTTCAACGTTTGTGCCTCATTTAGGAGCTCTACCCTCATTTTTAGGAGCTCTGGTGCTCGCTGTACTTTTACTTACTTCTTGGAGGCAGTTGTAGTATCTCATATACTCAATGATCATTGTAAAGGACCTCAGGACTCGGGCGTGTCATAGCTCAAAAGAGCTACAGGAAGGGAACAGTGCCAAGAGGAGAAGAAAGGAGAGGACCGCACCTCGTAGCCACGCTGTTCCACACACAGCTTGCCCAGAGACATCTGCGTCTTCACGCGCCGCACGGCACACTCCTTGTCAGAGAGCCCATCTGAATGCGAGGAGATCTCGATGGGAATCTCCGGCGTCTGGGACAGCAGGTCATCGAGCCTCTCTGCCAGGCGGTCTTCAAGTTTATTAGCAAACTCATCAGGACTGTTTGAGTGGTCACTGGTATTCCCCTCCTCGCCATCGGACACAGAGAAATTCTCAGAGCTAAAGGTTGAATACGACTGGCAGCTTCTGATGCAGCGATGGGGCCTAGAACCACAAAGGACCAGAAGAATTTCATCCCAGGAACCACCACCTTGCTTACCTTGTCCGACCATCACAGTCCCAGGGAGGGGTCAACTTGTTTTTTCCATGCCCTTCAGGGAGAGTCAAATCCAGATAGACTGAAATGATTTAATTTGAAAGCAACCAAGAAGGACATTTACATGTTGGTGTGGCTAACGTCCAAAGCTGAGGGTTACCATTGGTCTTGAAAAAGATCAGCTGATCTAATCATGCTGTGTCTACCTATGCATGGAAATTATGTTTCTTACAGAATCCCAGGTTCTCGCAAGTGAAAGAGACTTGGGAGATTTTCTATTTCCCAGATCAGAAAACTAGAGCCAGAGAAGGAAAGTGGCTTGTGCAAGGTCACACCATTCGCCAAGGCAGAGCTGTGGCGTGGGTGGGTCTGTGCACACTCTGCTCAGAGTCCTTCTCTACCTCACTCCACCCCATCGCATCGCCCATTCAGCTGCTTCAGCCACTGGGCATGGCAGCCTTCACCACCCTGTCAAACTGACTCCAACATAAAAGAGCTTGGAAGCAACATTCACCTTGCAGCTGGGGACACTGCCCGGCCAGCCAGTGGCTCATTCCAGTTAACATTGGGGTTTCGTTCTGATAAAGGCAAAGTTTCGGGGGGCGGGGAGGGCGTAAGGAGGAGAATTTGCAAAAGTTTCTCACTTCTTTCCCATGGTTTACAAGTAGTTTAGTAAATAAGAATGCTGTTAACGTATACTGGTTTAAAAACAAAACAGAAACAATAACAAAAGAAGACTGCCTTTTCCCTCTGGCATTGTCTGATCTGTCTGTATTTCTTAATACAAAGTCATTTTGATGGCAGATGATCTGAGCCTGGCTGATGACCAGGCCAGTTGGTGGGTGGGGGATCAAGGTCACATGAAAAGAGCCACTGTGGGAAATGGAAGTGAAGGTAAGAATCACGCAACTTCTCAAGGCTGGTAATCCAGAAGGGAGACAGGGAGAAGAACGTTATAAAAAGCAAAACCATGTGGTAAAAATATAATTTGCATCATAGCAAGAAAAGGTGGATTAGGTGGGCTGAGTTCATGGTGTGTCATAGGAACAAAAGCTGGAGGTAACATTATTGTGATCCTAGCGAGTGATTTCGTTTTACTCAGGCGCAATCTGGTTGCATAGGAGGAAACTACTGTTCACGACAGGTATAGCTCAGAGATGAGAACATATTTCAATTTTGTGTAGAGCATGGGGACCCAGAATACAATTACCAAAGGATTAGGAGAGCCTTTGTTCGCAGGAAATTCCTGTTTCTGGGCAGGAACACAAACCTTCCGGGGATCCTTAGAGCTTCACTTTTAAAGAACAAAATGCCTATTAGCAGAAAAGGCCTCCTGGGAGGAAAAGGACCTTTCCTACTCCTGCACAGGAGCAGCCCTGTTCTAGACGTAGAGGAGTGTGTGGTCCTTCTTTAATCCTACAAGAAAAATTATTATCGCTGGCTAAGCAGGAAGCTCTTTCTAAGGCTGGGTTGATGGAGGACTCAGCTCATCTAATCCAATTATAATCTAACTAGAAGCCCAGTGTACGAAATCGTGCACAGGTATGGTCCCTAGGCCTAGTGTACGATCAGGGCTATCTTCCCCAGCTGCTGGCAGCTGGCCCCACCCCCTCCACTGCCACCCACCCTGGTTCCCTGTTCGACATAGGGCAATGGGAGCCTGCTGGCTGCGGGGGAGGGACTGATAGGTCAGCTGTTCCCACCCACTTGCTGGCCCCACCCCTGCTGCGGGTTACCCTTTGTGTGTGGGGTGACTGGCGAGGCAGGGGCCTTGGCCTGGCACCACCCACATCCCCCGCCACCCACTCTGGTTCCCTGTTTGCCACCAGCAATCAGAACCTGCGGGCCAGGGGGAGGGACCAAGAGGTCGGCCCATTCTACCCGCTCACCAGTCTAGGCCCCTGCTGCCACCCACCCTGGTTCCCAGTTTGCCATTGGCAATTGGAGCTTACTGGCTGGGGAAAGGGACCAAGAGGTGGTCAGTGCACCACCGAGTGACTGGTTGAGTGGTTGTTCTGCCATTATGGTTGCTGGGCTTTTATTATATAAGATTATAATTAATTATACTAGAGGCTTGGTGCATGAAATTCGTCCACTGAGTGTGTGTGGGGGGTGTCCCTCAGCCCAGCCTGCACCCTCTCCAATCTGGGACCCCTCTCACAATCTGGGACGCCTGTCTCCCAACTGCTCACATGCCTGCCTGCCTGCCTGATTGCCCCTAATCCCTTCTGCCTGACAGCTTGATCACTCCCTAACCACTCCCCTGCCAGCCTTATCAATGCCTAACTGCTCCCCTGCCAGCCCGATTGCCCCCAACTGTCCTCCCCTGCCAGCCTTGTCACCCAAAACTGCCCTCCTCTGCAGCATCCAGAAATGTGAGAAATAAAATTCCATTGTTTAAGCTACCTAGTCTATGGCATTTCGTTATGGCAGCCCAAGGAAACTAATTCAAGGAGGTACACTAGAAACCAGTAAAATTATCCATAGAACACATGGCCTTTTCTCATAAACTGCCCACTATATTTTTAGTTGTAACCCTGAATCTGTATTTATGCTCGTCTTGAAGTTCCTATGAAAAGAATTCTGATAAACTGGCACTGGCTGTGCATAGCCAGTTGCCAAAATGTGGGAACAGGAGACCATATACACAGTGAGTTCAAGTTTCCTTACAAGGTGGTTGTTAGAAAGTGACATGCAATTGAACAGGAAGTGGCAACCTCAGGGTTTCCCCAATTACACTGAAACCAATCACATGTGTTTGATGATTTTACCTCTGTCTTCGTGGAAATTCAACTTCACTATCTACTTCCCCTTCTTCCTCTTCTGAGGACTCGTCTCCACTCTAAAGAAAACCAAGAGAAAAGAATTTTATTTCTCTCTCTCTCTCTCTCTCTCTCTCTCTCTCTCTCTCTCTCTCACACACACACACACACACACACACACACACGCGGTCCTTGAAAAGATTTATCATCAAAAGGCATAGAGTAGTAGCTTTCTGAGTGCCATCTTTAAACATACATATCTTCACTCATTGTTTTAGCAACTTTTCCTGGGTGTCCATGGTGACAGGCCTTGCACTAGATGCTGGAAGACATACAGAACTGAATAAAACATATCTTTGCCCTCAGGGAGGTGAAGGCTCCATGAGCATGTCCAGAGGTGAGTGACAGAGAGGAGAAACTGGAGAAGAGGTCTTGGAGTGGGGGCAGGCTCATGCAATCATTGTCACTAGTGGTTCCAGGCTTTGTCATAGAGACTTCACCAAGAAGTGATCTTTCAATTGTTCAAAGCCCAACTACTTTTCCCCCTTTCACATACCAGCCCCCTTTCACTGACATGATAGTCATTATGTGTATCATCTCCACTACTAAGACATACATCATTTGAGAGTCAGACCGTATCTTGTTGTACTGTACCCCTCACTCCACCATTAATACAATGCTGCATATAGAACAGGTGCTTAGTACATTACATTATTGAGTCAGCATGTTGGCCGGACAAGGGCCATTGGAGGCCTCATGGTTGCGGGGTTCTGTGGTTGATCTGAAAAGCTGAGTAAGTGTTGTGTCTGAGTAAATGATCTTCCCTCACAGGGAAGCTTCCATTTCTCTTCAAGTGCACAGGAGTAGCCACACTCAAACCAACTGTCCTTAACTATAGCGACACTACGTACCACATTACTACAATCCCTGTGAGGCAGGTAATTGGGTCCAAGTAATTGCACCAAAGATAGAGGATAATGTGCTTTGAAAGTCGGTTCTAACGTCACTCTTACCTACTTGCATTCCGATGCTTTCTGAGTAGGAAAGACAGGGATGGAGGTACCCTGACTGCTAAGATGAGCCCTTTACCCCAGAGGTACACATGGGAGTATATGTCAGTAGAGAGAAGTCGAACTGCTCTCTGGGAGTGTGGTTCTAATAAGACCAAATGTATAAGGTGTGTTCTCCATGGCTGGCAGACTCGTAAAACGCAGGATGTTCAAGTAGGTGAGGGAAAAGCTGGATTATACTAGGTTTCTGCATGATTTCTCAAAGTCTAGGACTTGCTAATGTACACGAGGAATTTCCCAGAGGGGACAGAAAATACAATGTTAACCAAACCTATTTTATAATTGGATCTTTCCTTCTTGCAACATCCTTCAGGACTGGGCTAAAGTAGTGGTTTCCAAATGATTTTGATAGCATATCACTAATATATGGTTGTCTATTTATAAATGATGTACATTTCAATCAGTCCACTGGTTCAATAGTTCTCAAAATGTATTTCTAAGTCCTTCACTTAAGCAGTGTGAAGAGAAAATATTTAAAATAAAGAAGCTCCTGTTTATTCTCTTGTTAGCTCATCCTCTTACAAAATGTGCCCTTGTGTATGTTTTATGATGCACCTACCACGACAGGCTCTGGCATCCACAAACACAGTGACGCCCACCGCTGTCCTTACCTTTTGAAGGGGCCTTGTTTTCCGAGGTAGCGCTGGTGGGGTGATGTGATGAGGGACGCCAAGGGACGAGGCAGACCTACAGCCACTGAATTCTTCGTTTTCTTCCATTTTCTCAGAACCTTGGGCATTTTCTGAGAGGAGATTGTGTGCTGGTGACTTGAAAAGGTCGGGGCTCCTCCCCACCGGCTCAGCAAAGGGACTGTCTAGGGGCCCGCACTGCTCCGGCCTGCACTGGACGCAGGGATCATATGGGTCAGCCTGGCAGCAGCCCCAGGGGCCGGCCTGGCCCTGGGCAGGCTCAGAACTTCTCCAGCCATCTGCTGCCACGGCTGTGGAGATGAGGTCAGGGCTGGAGCCAGGCATCTGTCTCTGAGCGTGGTTGCTGAGCGGGCTCCGCAGGGCAGCTGCGGGGCCAAAGTACCTCAGGTTGTTGGCGCAGGTGGCAATGTCCTGGCCGTGCACATTGAGCCTGGGATGGTGACTCTGAGACGTGGCGGGAGGGGGCTGCTGGTACTGCTGCTGCAGAGAGGGGTGCTGGGGTTGAGCCTGGTGTAGATACGTGGGGTGGGGTGAGTTTTCGGGGACTGGCTGGTTTTTCAAGATTGCTGCAAAGTCACTATGGCTGCCTCGGCTATTCCCCCGGCGGTGGCGTGGTTTGCTCCGGTACCGGCTCTTGCCGCCTGAGGTGGACATTTTTGGGCTTCCAGACAAGGGGGACGCAGTGGGAGCCACCTCCACACTGGGGATGCCTTCTGACCGCAGCAGATCTGGCCTGGGAGAACAGAGCAGGTTTAGTTTTAAACACATGAAAATACATATTCAGGTTTGGGGAACTCTATCCCACGCCTTAAAACACACCGTTTGAATCAGCAGCCACACCCAGGGATTTACCCAGCGGAGGAAATGGGTGTCCGCAAGAACGTGTGTTTGAAGGCACTGCGCTAATGTATTGCTTAAAACAGCAGATTTGGAAACTACCTAGATATGCCAAGGCGCTCAGTCCCTTTAAACTCTAACTGCCCGACAGGTTTCTGGATCTCCTCCGCATAGTATCAGTCATCAGCTTGGTGCCAACATGCCAACACACAGGCATGGCCGATTGCCCACGACCAGAAATCTGTCCAGTGATGGATGGGGATACAGGGATCACAGAGGCGAGAGTTCTGGTACCAGGGACGGACACCCTGGGATAATGAGGCAAGAGGCAAAGTTCAGAGAGTCAGGTGCAGACAGGTCTTCTTGAGGGCTGGGCTATGTCATATTCATGTTTGTCTGTGAAGGACACGAACAGGGAGTCTAGATCACAGTAGGGACGCAGTAATGTTTCAGGAAGAGGGGACATGGGGGTGGAGCCCGAAGACAGGAAACAGTAGAGAGCCCAGGAGGCTGAGCAGAGGCAGCGAGAGAAGGCTCCTGAGGAGAGGCCCCAGCACTGCACTGTGCTCTGACAGGGAGGAGTCCTCTCCCAGCCCCGCTGTCACGTGCCCCCCGGGCCAGCCATGCAGCCCGTGTCCAGGAGGAAGCCGGCTCCGGAGGTGAACGCTCTGCACACTGACTCCAAGGCAGTAGGTCAGCAGTAAGTGCTTTCTGAACCGATGGTGCACACTGACTCCAAGGCACGTACTAGTAGGTCAGCAGTAAGTGCTTTCTGAACCGATGAAGCGATTCAGGCAGAGATTCTAGGACACCAGGGCATATTGCTACCTCCTCCCCACCGAGGAACTGCCATTGAACTGTCCAAATAGTCTAGCCTCACCTCCTCTGGGACCAGACAGATACAAACTGGCAGGACCTTTCAGGGCTGGAGGCCACCCCCTAGTTTTCTTAACAACAGAATCCTTTATTCAAATTAATTATTAGGAGAAGCCCAGTATCTGAAGCAGATCTAGTGGGACAGCTGGAGAGACCCCTCCCTGCAGGGCTCCTCGTTCTCTCCACCCTGCAACAGGACCTGAGGCCCTCTCTATGCCGGCCCTAGGGTACCCCAGACCTTGCTTGGGAACACAGATACAGTCCTGCCCCCACCCTGCGTGATGAGGAACCCAGAGCCAGCCAAAGTGGCTCCTGGTCCCATAGCTCGTTCCTGGCAGAATGCAGACCAGAAGCCTCTGGCTTATTAGATACAGTCTAGTTTGCAGGTTCGTACATGTTACTTGAGAGTTTGTTAAAATGACTGAGTCGGTCTGGGATGGGGCCTGAGGGTCTGCATTTCTAACCTGCTCTCGGATGATGCTGAGCTGAGGGCCTACACTTTGAAGAGCGAGGGCTTAGAGGAAATTAGCCGGCACCAGGCAGGAGGAGGTGGATTTCCCTTTCTTGCAGGAGAAGTACAGTTAAAGGCTGGCCTTAGCACAGAAGTTCCAGGAGTTACCAGCTTACGATAAGGTTGGTTTACGATAAGATACTGTGCTGCTCTCAGCAGCTTCCTGTCTCAGATTCAGTTGTATGGTCAGTTGACCAGCTTGTGCCTCAAACGGTATCTGGATGGAGGAGGCCCTGGGGCTCTTGTTGAGGCAAGAGGGCCCTTAAGGCTCAGTCAGGGGCGTCTACTTACACAGAGGCTGGCTATGGTGGCATCTAAGAGAGCAGAGGAGAAAGTGTCCTATGTCAGGTGAAGGCTGCTTTCACTGAAGCTGGCAGTGCAAACATCACAGGATAACATTAACACAGCACTTCACAGTTGACAAAGCACTTTGCATTATATGAACCACTTGTTTCCTACTATTACAATATCCGTTTTACAGAGAAAGACACTGAGGGATCAGGATGGTTAGTTGTCTTGTGTCCAATACAAAGCAAGTAAATGGCAGAACTCAAAAACTGACCCCAGGTCTTTTGACTCCGAGGAACAGTTCTTTCCCCGTTCCAAGCTTCTGCTTATTCCAAGGCATTTAGACAATCTTATTGGCCTATCCCAGTGGTCGGCAAACTGCGGCTCGCGAGCCACATGCAGCTCTTTGGCCCCTTGAGTGTGGCTCTTCCTAAGCCTTAGGAGTACCCTAATTAAGTTAATAACCATGCATCTACCTATATAGTTTAAGTTTAAAAAATTTGGCTCTCAAAAGAAATTTCAATCGTTGTACTGTTGATATTTGGCTCTGTTGACTAATGAGTTTGCCGACCACTGGCCTATCCTCACGTGTGACGGGCTCTGTGGATCCATAGTGGAATTCTGGCTCTCTTCTTTCTAGTCCTTGACCAAACATACCCTGAAGCCTAGGCTAAAGGATGGTGGATGGTTTCTCCTCTCTGCTCCCCTCAAAGGTCACTGGCCTTCTGGTTTGATAATCATTGAACCGTCCAAATAATCTGAAACTTAACTCCATTAAGGGGCAAGCAGCTGAAAATACTCTTCACAGCTCTAGTCCCCATCCAGGTTGCTTCCTGGACAGGTTCAGTTGGCTTGTAGACTAAGCATCTGCTGATGGTGTCAAACTCCTTCAAACACATTTCCCCCAGCACATGAGCTCATATTCTGTAAAAGTAAACATGAGCACATATACTGGAAAAAAAAGGTACTATTGTCCCCCCACCCCCCACTCCAATGCTCTTAGTTTTAACTATAGGCAGAATGCAGGGAGGACCAGCAGGCAGCTGTGATAGGCAGAATGCAGGGAGGACCAGCAGGCAAATTTGGTCCCTATTTAGGACACCCAAAGAAAGAGGTGTTGGGCTTCCAGGAGGGTCTTACCAGGTACTATCTGAAAACAATTTCTCAGAACTTGAGCAGGCGATAGTCAGGAGTGGTAAGTAAAAGGGAAACTGGAGTTAATCCATGGAATTGCTCACTAGTAGTTCAGATTTACATTAGTCATGGTCTCGGGCCACCTTTCTGAAAGGCTTAGAGTAGATTCTTGGTTTGCATTTTTCATTACTTTTATTCTTACTGCATTTAGCTTACGTCTCACTGTTGGGCCCACCTCCCAGGTTTAGGGACATTTCTTTCCTTTCCATTAATGTAGCTAGGACAAAACGAACTCTCCATTATTTGGGAGGAATGCAGCTCTCGCAGAACTTGGTAAGAAACACTGACTGGAAGAGCATTATAAGGTTAAACTAATCCAGTATTTTAGATCTGTGGTTAGGGTCCGAGTTTGTAGTGGGCTGAGTCAGGTTATATGTGGATTTCCCACTAAGCAGGTGGCTGGCACTCCTAATCTCCACATTGTACAAGGGCCAACATATAAGGAAAATGTGTTATAATTAGGAAAAAGGGCAATCTTTAAAAAAAAACTATTAAAAAATCCACTTTTTGAGTTCCTGTGATTTATTAGGTGACCTCACATATTGTCTTATTTAAACTTCACAAAAGTCCCCTGCAAGAGTGGAATGAGGGGAACCATATGGGCAGATAGAGGTAATTATCAAAGCCGTTTTGATAGCACATATACGAAAATTGGGCGATACAGAGAAGATTAGCATGGTCCCTTGCAAAGATGACCTGCAAAATTTGTGTAGTGGAAAAAAACACACACAAAACACAAAGTCCCTGCCTTCATTTTTTTGTGGTGGATTTATGAGCACTTATTACATTATTAAAATAACTAACTAAATGAATAAATAAAAGTGGGTCATGTGTGGACCAATGTTGCCTAAATTGAGAATTATAATTAACCCAATTCTGTGCGTTAGGGGCCAAAGAAGAAATCTCATGTGCTATAGTTATACCATTTTACCATGGGGCTGAAAGAGGGTAACTGACATGGCCCAAATCACACAGCTCATAATGGGTGTAGCTAGGATTCTAACCCAGGTCTGTCTGCCCCACGCCCCCCATGCCCCGCCCATTTCTCTTTTTACTATTCTATGCTAAGAGAATAAATATCTATGCCTCATATAGTAATGCATGGATCCCTAGGGTCCATGACACACTTTCTCTCAGCTTTCCACTCTGTTTTATCTAGAGGCATGTGTGCTAATGATGAGGTAGGGTGGCCACACCCACCATCATCTGATAATGTATTTTTAGGGAGATAGTTCCCCATTTCTCTGAATACCAGGTCAGCACAAGCATCTCACCGTTTGGTCTGCACCCCAGGTTTGTGAGGCACACCCTTCCTTTTCATGAGCTTCTCCATGGCATTGGGGTGGATTATTGGACGGACAGGGTGTCGCTTGTAGGTCCCGGGATACTTCTTTTCCACGGCTTGCTCACGCCTGCAGAAAAAAAGAAAAGGCCCATCTCAGACACCGCAGACAGAAAAGATGGGCAGAATGTTGCACAGGCTAATTCTACCCACAGATTCAGGCCACCTTACCAGGTGCAAGCCATTTGAATAACAAGGTTGCTATTCAGGTAAAAAGGGGATAAAAAAGATACTAAATTCAACCTAATCTGATTTCATTTTTCCCTTCAGCTCATAGATGAACTTGGAGACTAACCTTCCCCTCCACAGTACACCTCATGAGAGACACAATGCAATGGTAGAAGCCCTACTGATTTCAGTAGCTGCTGTGTTGGTCAGGACCCCGGGATTTTCTTGCCATTCTCAGGAATACTCTAAACCACTTGCAGAAGCCACCTCACTTCCCCAGGGGGCAATAAGCCCCCACTCAACAACATCCTGCTCTCCATGAAATGGCACCCTTCTTTTTTTAAAATATATTTTATTGATTTTTTTACAGAGAGGAAGGGAGAGGGATAGAGAGTTAGAAACATCGAGGAGAGAGAAACATCGATCAGCTGCCTCCTGCACACTCCCCACTGGCGATGTGCCCGCAACCAAGGCACATTCCCCCAACCGGAATCAAACCTGGGACCCCTGAGTCCTTAGGCTTACACTCTATCCACTGAGCCAAACCAGTTAGGGCGGCACCCCTTCTTGAGCCATTCAGCAGGGTGAAGTGGCAAATAGCTGTCAGTGCATGCTCCCCTAGAACCAGCTCTGTGGCAACTCCACTCAACCGGAAACCTCCCCAGGGGCAGGGACTGTGCACAGCCCCCCCCCTCGCCCCCCACTACCAAGGAATGTTGGATGAATGACTAAGACAGCTGCCAGTTCTGAGTAGCAGCAACATGGAAGAGCAGTACATTTCTGCTGATGGATAGACCACATCAACAGGGGCAGACAGTGGTCTGGATGCATACTTAATGAGCTCCTTCTCCCGCATTTCCAGCTGCAGCATGATGGCACTCAGCTCCATGTATAAATTATTAGCCCGCTCAAGTTTTCTCTCGTAGTGTTCACGAATATCCAAAGCATGCCTACCAAAGAAAACACAGGATCAGTGTGAAATTAACTCGGGGGAGGACAAAAGTTAGCTCTCATGAAGTAAGAACCAGAATGGTTGATCTCAAAAGCATTTGACTAAAGGGCCCCTAGGTCAGTGGTCGGCTAACTGCGGCTCGCGAGCCACATGCGGATCTTTGGCCCCTTGAGTGTGGCCACGAAGTTTCAATTGCACTGTACGTGCGTGCCCGCATGTGGTATTTTGTGGAAGAGCCACACTCAAGGGCAGTGATGGCGAACCTTTTGAGCTTAGCATGTCAGCATTTTGAAAAACCCTAACTTAACTCTGGTGCCGTGTCACAAAGAGAAATTTTTTGATATTTGCAACCATAGTAAAACAAAGACTTATATTTTTGATATTTATTTTATATATTTAAATGCCATTTAACAAAGAAAAATCAACCAAAAAAATGAGTTCTCGTGTCACCTCTGACACACATGTCATAGGTTCACCATCACTGCTCAAGGGGCTGCAGTTTGCCGACCACTGGCCTAGATTAAAAGCTCCCTTGTCCAGTGCAATGACTCAGCCAAGATGGAGTGGGAGATGGAAAATCTAAGCTTTCTATTTGGTTTATCCTTAGGGGCCATATCTAGCCATACAGAAGAGTCAGGAGGTCACAGATAAAATGTGAATGGGATCTGTGCATAATTTGTAGTCTTTGTGTAGTATTGACAATATCATAATAAGAATACAGTATAGCTCATTGTTAATGGAAATATGCAGCTGGGAGCTGATACCATGATCACTCATTTATACTTATCTGTGGCACAGATCCTGCCTAATTATAGTGATTATCTATGAACATATCTTGCATCCCTTAAAAGATTATAACCATCTTGAGACCAGGGACTACATCTTATAAGTTTCTGGCCTTCCATGTCACTTAGGACAGGGGCTGAGTGAACAAATCGCATTGCTCTGGGAATCTTCATTGCAGAGATACAATGAAAGAGGATAACAGAGTGTCAGGGGCCAAGGAAGGGAGGATAAGCCAGTGATATAAAGGAGAGCAAATTTGAAAGAGAATTAACAATAAACAGCACGTGGAAAGGTGTGTAGAAGTGGTGATTCACAAAGAGAGTTCTGCTAATATCTGGAGACCCGGAGATGCGAAGACATGGAGGAGAAAGCAGCTGACCTGAGCTCTTCTCGCCGCCTTCTAATCAGCTCTTCATCCAGGCGGTGTATACACGTCCCTTCACTTTTGATCTTCTCAAAGTGTTTTTTCACTTCTTCTCTCCATTCAGCCTGGGTGAGGATAAATTAGACTTTGTTAATATTCTAGGAGTTTCAAACCCGGATACAGCCATAGGCTCATGTACAAGATTTTTTTTTTTTCTGTAAACTTCTCTTGAAGAACTTTATAGAATAGATGTTCAATTAATATTAGTCAACAGCAAAATATCTCATGAAAATGTACCTGCACACCATATCCCACCCCATTTTCTGTAGTGATCCAACATGCCATGCCATCTCTTTTCCAGTTTCCTGGGCCACCAGAACCATCACAGCTAGCATACCAGCTATCACCTCGGTGAGTCAAGAGAGCAGCAGAGAAAGCCTGGCTAGAAAGGATGGCTGTGATAACCATCTATATATATAAAAACCTAAGCGACCGAATGACCGAACGACCCAACAACCAGTCCACCGGTCACTATGATGTGCACTGACCAACAGGGGACAGATGCTCAACACAAAGGACTGGGCTCCCTCCTGTCGGGATTGGGCCGGCAGAGATTGGGCATGTGGGGATTGGGCTCTCTCCTGTCTGGATCGGGCCTGCAGGGATCAGGCTGAAACCAGCTATTCAACATCCCCCCAAGAGAAATCCCAGACTGCGAGAGGGCACAGGCCAGACCGAAGGACCCCACTGGTGCACAAATTTGTGCACCGGGCCTCTAGTTATTGCATAAAAAGAAAA